TGGGAAGGTGAGACTCATGTGTCAAATCCGGAGGAGACAAAGTAGTTGGCACTTGAGTGGAGTCACATGGTGGTGGTTGTGATTGGTTTCGACAACTATAAATCTGAAGAGGCAGTGGAGAAGAAGTTGACTGCGAAGCAGGAACTAATGGTGAAGAAGACACAATTAGAGGGTCACAAACAACAGGAACATTAAATGTACTAGGAGTGTTGACAAGATTGGAAGGAGATAGAGGTGAAGATTGACTTTTAAAATAAAGAGACAACTCATCAAAGGTGACATCTGCAGACACAAAATAACAGTTAAGAGAAGGAGAAAAACATTTGTATCCTTTTTGTAATCTTGTAAACCCTAAGAAAACACATTTATGTGATCTAGGAGAAAGCTTGTCAAGACCAGAACTGAAATTATGAACAAAACATGTAAACCCGAAAACTTTCAAAGGTAAAGGATGAAGTGGTTCATGAGGGAATAAAATTGAATGAGGTATTTTATTATCTAAAACCGAAGAAGGCATGTGATTAATGAGATAACATGCAGTAAGAAGAGCATCACCCAAAAAATGTTGAGGAACATCTCCATGAATTAAAAATGTGCGAGTTGTTTTAATAAGATGTCTATTTTTACGTTCAGCTACACCATTTTGTTGAGGTGTATAAGCACAAGAAGTTTGATGCAAAATACCATGAATTGTTTAAAAGAATGAGAAAGATATTCACAGTCATTATCACTATGCAAAACTCTAATAGAAACACCGAACTGAGTTTGAATTTCATTAAAAAAAGTTTGAAAGATATGAAATAATTCAGAACGATTTTTCATCAAAAATAACCAAGTGCATCTGGAATAATCATCAATGAAAGTAACAAAGTATTAAAAACCTAAAGTAGACTTAACGCGACTAAGTCTCCAAATGTCAGAGTGAATCACGGCAAAAGGGGACGAAGCACCACGTGTGAAACTACGAGGAAAGGAAGTACGACTATGCTTGCCTAATTGACATGACTCACATGCCAAACTAGATAAGTTGGACAAGGCAGGGACAAACTTCTGTAACTTGTCAAGACTTGGATGACCTAATTGAGCATGAAGAAGAGAGGGAGACTCCTGTGCCAATCACCTGTTTCGAACTCCGGTCCTATAAACACACAAAATTGTTGGTAAACGTAACAACACAATCAAGAGAACGAGTTAGACGACTGATGGACAACAAGTTAAAAGCAGACCCAGGGACATAAAGAACATTATCAATGGTTAAAGAAGAAAAAAGTTTAATCGTGCCAACACCATGAGATGATACTCTAGAGTCATCAGTCAGTGTAACAGAAGGTAATATGATCAGTGACTCTTGAATAAAAAACCCAAGGACCAGGAAAAAATGATTGGGTCAGACCAACAAAATATATATTTGTATGTGTGACAGATATAGTGGGGCAAGAAGACTGTTGATCCTTATACCATTCGAGAAATTTGTTGAACATAGCAGGCATGTCGGATGCAACAGAAGAAGGAGGATCCCCAGCAGATAAAGGTTGGGAAAGATTGGTCTGAACAACCGCAAAAGATCGAGGATGACGACCATGTAATATATAACACTTGTTAATCTTGTGACCTAGCTTGCCACAATATTCACACTTAGGATGCCCTTTTCCTTGTTTGCGAGGGCGAGTCCAGGTCATCACGATGGGATGTCAACACAAAAGAATCATTAACTAAATTGGAAATAGTAGAAGAAGTGGAAGAGGTCATGAAGAGCGGGAGAACAAACCCTAAAACAATCCAAAGTAATCCAATTAACCCATGAAGCACAAATCCAAAATGAGAATAATAAAAATAAGTTCGCCAAGACTAAACTGGCGCAGGAGACAACGGGACGACCAACTCGATAGTGGTAATCTCAACGGCACGGTGGTCACCTGACCGAGACAAGCAAAATCATATGTCACCTGGTCAAAAAATGAAACTCCGCGAATTCTCCTAAGTAGCGGATCCGGTGATTGCTCCAGCAGCAACGGTGACAGGCAACGTGAACCACTACACCGGATAAGTTCCCAAAAAGAGAGATGGGTCACTAATGGACACATTTAAATACCAAATCTTTCCTTGGCAAAACTTTCCTATACATGCACTTTCATACTACCAAATAAAATTTAATAACAAAGATAATTCTTTTCTAATGTAGAGGATCAGTTTACGAGCAGTGGTGGCGGCTCTAGTAGCGGTGGGCGCGACTTAGCAGCGGTAGGGCAGCTCTAGCGATGGACAAAAGGCGAAATTTTTTTTTCAAGATAACCTTAAGCTCTAGATACCATCTTGAATATAGAGGAAATAGAGTTTGAAATTAATCTCCCTCATGTATAAATCACACATAGGGTAATATTTATAATAGTAGAGGTACAACTGAAAGAGTAACCGAAAATAAACGGAATAAACAGAAAATATTGTTTGATATTGTGGTTAACAATATCTTAACAATATCAAACTATATTTAAACAACATCTAACACATAGTAAGGATCTAAATAAAATAGTTAAAATTTTTCATAAAACAACTATCATTCCATAAAAGGAGTAGAACATATTTTATAAACTAGTAATCCCTCCACCTTTCAATAAACAACTCATGTAAAATAGGAGAAGGATAATAAATATTATATAAAATAATATTATTTTAAAATAATATAAAAAAATCACATTTTTTTTATTTCATTAATATATTCTATTTTATTTTATTTTAGGAAGATTTGAATTTATTTTTCAATAACTAATAAGAATAAATGAATTCGAAATTAATAGATAATTACTCATTTGAATTCTCAATGTTCAACCGCCAAGTACGATATCATAATATTTTCATAAATAAACTATTTTAAAATTTTTTAAAAAACTATTAAATAATATAAATATAAAATAATAAAGAAGATTAATACATAATTAAAGATAAATAAATAAATAAATATAAAAGACTAATATATAATTGAAAATAAATATATAGTAAAATCAATACATAACTAAATATATATATATATATATATATATATATATATATATATATATATATACCAATATGTAAATAAAGATAAATAAATAAAATAAGATTAAAGACATCTCACTTGACAAATATATAAATAAAATAAATAGAATTATAGATATTTCATTCCCATAATTACATATGATAAATCAAAATTTTATCAAAGTTATATATATATATATATATATATATATATATATATATATATATATATATATATATATATTACTTTTTTTTCTCTTTTCTCTTTTTTTTTTCTTTCTTCTTTTTTCCTCTCCTCTCTTTTCTCTCTCCCTCCTATGTTCCCTTTTCACCTCCTAACTTCTTTTATACTTAAATTTCACTTATATTTCTCTCAGTATGCTATTATCTCTTTTTTCTTAAGAGAAAAGCATCTTATCTTTTCCTTTTTTTCAATTAATTAATTATTTTTTAAATTATTAGTTAATTTTTTAAATCTTATATACATACATATATGTATTATTTTTTATTTTTTTAATAATTAATTTTTTTATAACATTTATATATATTAACCATTTTTTTAATAATTTAACTAATTTTTTATAAATGGGTTTTTTATTATAAAAATGTTTAAATTATTAAAAAATATTATAATTGAATACATTATATTTGAACAGATTTTACATGATAAGTTTTAAAGGTAGATTTGATTTTAGATCAATAATTCATATTTGTAATACCTTGTAGGGTGTATAAAACATTAGAGACCAACACGAACACCATTGAGACATGCAATTTAATTTTAAGTAATTTATTTATTTTATGTTTAGAAAAAAAATATTCTTATTTCTAGTAAGAACTTAATTTCCATTTCACAACTTGTACCTTTAGGTTTTTCTTTTAATTTTATGGATTCTAGTTTTACTTTATTGAATAAATCAAAAGTCATTGGTTTTGGTAAACTAAGTAATGGTCTTTACTTTATTAATTTACTGAACAATGTTATTTATAGCTCTATGCATGTTTTTGTTGGGTTAAAATGATGTATTGTGAATAAAAATTCCTTTATGTTATGACACTGAGATTAGAACATATCAAATGATTAGTAAATGATGAAGTATTTAATACTTTGGATTTTACCAAATTTGAGACCTGTGTGGATTGCATTAAGGGTAAGTGAACTAATAAGTCCTAAAATGATGCCATGAGGAGTTCAAACTTATTAAAATTATTCATACAGATATATGTTGTCCAGATATAGATGCAAGTAGTTTGAGATACTTTATCACTTTTATAGGTGATTATCTCTACTTACTTCGTTCTAAGGATGAATCTTTAGATGACTTTAAAGTTTTTAAGGCTAAAAATAGTTATAATGTACAAAATAAATTAAGATGATAGATCAGATAGAGGTAAAGATTATTATAGTAGATACAAAGAGAATAAACAAGCGTATAGTTCATTTGTGAAATTTCCTCAAGAAAATAGGATTGTTACCTAATACACTATGTTTGATTCTCCAGTTTAGAATGGTGTGACAGAAAAAAGAAATTGAACTTTAATGAGTATGGTGAAAAACATGAATCGATACTTGTGGATTGAATCACTTAAGACAACTATGTATATAGTGAATTGAGTTCCAACTAAGGTTGTTTAAAGATACCTTATGAGTTATTTAAAGGTTGAAAACCTAATTTTACAACATATACGCATTTTGAAAATCTAAGACTATTATGGATATTTCATTGGATATGCTTTGAAAAGTGTAGGATATAAATTCTATTGTCCATCTCATAGCACTAGAATTATGGAATCAAGAAATGCAAAGTTTTCTTAGAATGACTTAATTAGTGAAAATG